TTCTGGGAGTTGAAGTCTACAAGTCTTAAAGTTGCCAAGGTTGGAGACCCCTGTTCTATTGGGTAAGTTTTTTTCCCCTTTGGAAGCTTTAAAAAAAATAGTTAATTGGGTTTTTTTTTAGTTGTTCTTTTTTTAGACCTAGCCATTTAAAGTTTAGGAAGTTTTAAATTTAGCTTTCATATAAAAATAAAAACAAAACAAAATAAAATAAAATAAATAAAATAATATTTGTGCAGCTTTCTGAGATTTAGTGTGTTTCTGTAGTGTTTCACTCTAACTACACAAACACACAAAATCTCACAAAGCTGTATGTGGAATTTTGTGTGTGTAAAGTGTGAAAGTTGGGTTTTTGGGCTTTTTGTGGTTGTGTGAGGTTCCTGCTTGTTGCAAGGGCCATTTTGGGTCTAGCACAGCTGCTTTTACATTGTGGGTGAGCCAGTTGATGTTTTTTAATTTTTATTTGGTGTGCGTTGGAAGAGGGGTAGTTTTATACGGCGAGTATAGCCCAAACCCTATATTTTAACAGGAAAAGTCGGGGGTCGTCTTATACGCCCAGATGTCTTATACGCCAGAAAATACGGTATTATAAAGTATGGTGTAGATGGTATGAATGGTTGGAGAATAGGAAAAATGAGAAAGAGGAATAAAGGAGAGAGAAAAAAATGTTAAAGATCAAGGTAAAATGTAGATGAAATAAGGGAAGATAGATAACAATGTGGAATAAGATAAAGTTAAAATATGTGTAAATAGTAAGTAAGGACCACTTTGAAAGAGCTGTCTAAAAAAAAGTGTATGTATATAAATGTTGTATGTTTGTGTCTTGTTTTAATGTGTTTACAATAAAAAATTTTAAAAAAAGAAAAAGAAAAAAAGAAAATCCAATGCGAAATGGATGAAGATTTTTCAGAACAAATTTTTGAGTTCTCTTTTCAGGATGTTTCCCAAATGCAGCTTTTAGATTAACAGCAAGTGAGACAAATATGAGAGCTGCAGTATACAACATGATCTTCTATTCTCTGTTTAAATTATGTTTAAAAACAACAACAACAACCAAGAAACCTAGCCATAGTTCATTTTTTCTGATCATGGCAAAATATGGCCTTTCCTCTAGCTATTTATGCCGCTGGGATTTAGCAAAGCCAGGGAGATAATAGAGTGATTATGCTGTATTATGCTAGACAATTCCCCAGCTTCTTTCTATTCTTTGGAGTTCTAAAAACTAAGAAGAGTGTTTTTATTGGTACATTTTGATAGGCTGATAATTCCAGTGGAAAATATTCCATGTCTTCTTATGCTGCTCCGTTTCAATGGCAGTAATGACACTCTTATAAGTCTTCCCTGCTGAATTCCCAGGATCATTCAGCTGACTTTATGTATTTTGTTTATTACCAGGGCCAAGCATAGGTCATACAGGAAAGGTAGTTACATTTTGTGTTATAGTTTGTCACCAACAAAGGTTAATGTCTGCTTTAAGCTGAAAGTTGCCACTAGATAATAAAATCTCTTTCTTCCTCCTTTCTTCTAACTTTAATATTATTTTTTCCAAAATGATTTTTCTTAAGGATAGTTTGGTAATGCTGATCTTGTGATTGCAGAAAATGGAGATAAAATAAGCAAGTGCAATTTATCAGATTGCTCTAAACATATTGTTTGTTAAATATTTTTTTGCATGCTGACCTTTCCCAATCATTTAGCCTGGTTTCCTTTTAAGACTTGTGTAACTCTTAGGGGGAAGGAGCCCATAAATGAATTGGCAGCCAACACAGATCCCGCAACTTTGGAAAAATGCATTCCAGAAAGCAAATTTGAGGGATCAGTCTGGCAGTATTATTTTGCATCTGTTGAAGTTGCTGAGCAGCACTGTCAATTGTACACCCAAAATACCTTTCCTGATCTGTTGCTTTCCAGATCTGTGGAATTCAGCATTCCTTAGTTCTGGCTGGGAAGCATATAGTTAAGGAAGGTTATCAAGAAATGAGGATAAATAACTTAGACATATGGAAACGGCATAGATCTAAAACTTACTGGATGGTATGTCTTCTTTCAATAGCAGAGACAATATGAAAGACTATCTGTCTTCTTTATTTCACTTTGGGTAGGAAACAAATACACACACACACACACACACACACACACACACACACACACACACTCTTTCGGAATTGGCACAGACATAAAATTCAAAAAAAAAAAGAGAACATCATTGCCGTGGTTTTCACAGCTTCATAAGATCCTTAATTTTAAGTCTAGAATTGTGGCAATATATCTGCAATTGTTATTATGTGTAAATTATGTGCATTTAAAAAATACTATATGTACATTAAATGATAAAACTTTTCTCGAAAGCAGATTTTTCTTTCATCATTCTAGCTATGTCTATCCACTGCAGGATGAAGACCTTTTCTACATTTTTCCAATCAATACAGTCTTGAATTTTCTTTTGCCAATTGGGCCCGTAATACTTGCTGATGTCATCGCTCCATCTTGTTTTAGATCTCTTTTGTGGATGCTTTTTACCAAGTGGAATTCATTCTATGTCTGTCTTAGTCTACCTGCCATCAGTTAACTGCCTTTATTACTGGTTATATGGTGAACTTTATCTTGCTTTATAAGTGCTTGAATTTTTTTTTTCATTTCCCATGATCAGGTTGAGGAATTATTCTAGCTTGACCTTTTGTCAGGTTCGCCTGATCCGCCAGTTGTGGCCCTTTCTTGATTGGTATTCCCTGTGCACAGTCACTCATGCCCTCGTCACCTCTCGCCTTGACTACTGCAACGCTCTCTACATGGGGCTCCCCTTGAGGAGCACCCGGAGGCTCCAACTGGTCCAGAACGCAGCAGCGCGGGTAGTGACGGGAGCAGCATGGTGCTCCCATGTAACACCGCTCCTGCGTGAGCTGCACTGGCTCCCAGTGGTCTTCCGGGTGCGCTTCAAGGTGTTGGTTATCATCTTTAAAGCGCTCCATGGCATAGGGCCTAGCTATCTTCGAGACCGCCTGCTGCCACCGACGACCTCCCATCGACCCGTGCGCTCCCACAGAGAGGGCCTCCTCGGGGTGCCATCAGCCAAACAGTGCAGGCTGGTGACCCCCAGGGGGAGGGCCTTCTCTGTGGGGGCACCTACCCTCTGAATCAATTGCCTCCAGAGATAAGGAGAATCCAAGACCTCAGTGCCTTCCGCCGTGCCCTTAAAACCTTCCTTTTCCAGCAAGCCGGGCTGGCCTAATTTTTTAAGTTTTTTTAAGTGTTTTGTTTATTGTTTTTAATTAATGGGGCCAAATTTATATATATATATATATTAACTGTATTTTAATATTTGTACTTGATGTTTTTACTTGGCTGTTCACCACCCTGAGTCCTCAGGGAGAAGGGCGGTATACAAATTCAAAATAAAATAAAAAAAATAAAATAAAACATTACTTCTAGAGACTCAGACTTTAGAAGCACCAGCTTGATATTCATTTTGAATCTTAGCCTAGCTTCATATCCACAGAATTGTGAATCATACTTTGCTGAATAAATATAAATGATGTGTTTTCACATTATACAATACTAAGCCATGGTCAAACAAACCACATTTAAAGGGGGAGGTGAATTTGGCCCTCTGCATGCAAGAGGTAACATGTGAAATCTTAGTTTCAATTATGGTTCAAGGTCAAATTGGTCATATTCATAATCTAGATTTTCAGAGGTTTATAGCATATGACATTTTCTAAAAATCCACCCATGGTTGGGGAAAAAAAGAGCTAGGCATGAAGTCATGTTATGACAGTGAAGAATCTAAGCTGCATATTCAATTTTCATTTGTATGTGTGCATAAGCAATCATAGCACTTTGCTGTACTTATATTGTTTATAACTCCATGAAATGGAAAGAAATTGATAAAATTCAGTGATATGGTTGTAACATATAAAATGATTATTTTTGTTCATGGTTCTATTATTCGAAAAGTATTAAGTGATAAGTGCATTTATTCCTAAAATACATTTTACTTATAACCTTTTAACCTGATTTTCGGTATTAAAAAAGAAATCCAAAGAAACCATTGTTGTAATGCTGCTAACCTCAGTTTTAGTCATCTAGGCAGTGCTCAGATTTGCTGGTTTCTATGATTTATACAATAAATACCTACAGAAGCCAGCAGTGCGTGCATGCAGCAAAGCAAACCAAACAATAACCTTGTTATCAGATTAGATAAAATGAATCTGTTTTTTATTTATTTAGCATATTTATATAGACGCCCATCTCACAAAAAATAACTCTGGTGTAAACAATTTAACACAGCAATACACTATTAAAAACGGGCATTATTAAAAATGGAAAAACAATCCATGTTTAAATGTAAACTACCAAGCACAGGAGAGATAAATGATATGAACACGATGGAGCAATCTTAGAATGTCACTGGTCCTCTGGGACCCCCGGTCCTGTTTGACGTTGCTAGGTCTTAAGGGACTTCTAGAACTTTGCTAGCTGAGGAATTCTGGGAGTTGAAGTCCACATATCTTAAAGTTGCCAAGGTTGGAGACCCGTGGTCTAGAACAATAATCCGGAAGGAGCTACCCTCACTTGGCATAGGGGAGAGTGTTAGGTCAATGTGACAGCAGAGAACCTTGCCTCCCAGGACCCATTAATGAGGGGGTTGCTGGTATATGGGACCTGTACAGAGGTGGGTTTCAGCAGGTTCTGACCAGTTCTGGAGAACCAGTAGTGGAAATTTTGAGTAGTTCGGAGAACTGGTAGTAAAAATTCTGACTGGCCCTGCCCCAGGGGTGAAATGCTCCCCGTTTGGACTGGCTCGGGCGAGTAGGTAGCAATGGTGGCGGGCAGTTCGGAGAACCGGTAGCAAAAATCCCTTCCCCCCCAGCCTCCAGCTTGCTTACCTTCACATGCCTGCCTTGCTTCGCTTGCTGTAATCCTTGCAATTCATTGCATCAGCAAGCAACTGAATCTCCCTGCCTGCAATCAAGCTCATTGGTGAGCAGCTCTTTCTGCCTGCCTGCCTGCCTGCTTGCCTTGTCCCGGTAAGTTTTTTTTCCCTTTGGGAGCTTTAAAAAAAATAGTTAATTGGGGTTTTTTTAGTCGTTCTTTTTGTAGACCTAGCCATTTAAAGTTTAGGAAGTTTTAAATTTAGCTGCTTTTATATAAAAATAAAATAAAATAAAATAATATTTGTGCAGGTTTCTGAGATTTTGTGTGTTTCTGTAGGGTTTCACTCTAACTACACAATCACACAAAATCTCACAAAGCTGTATGTGGAATTTTGTGTGTGTAAAGTGTGAAAGTTGGTTTTTTGGACTTTTTGTGGCTGTGTGAGGTTCCTGCTTGTTGCAGGGGGCATTTTGGGTCTAGCACAGCTGCTTTTATATTGTGAGTGAGCCAGTTGTGTTATGTTGTGTTTTGTAGGTTAAAAAAGGACAAAGAAGTGACATCGACCTGGCCACGCCCACCTTACCACCAAGCCATGCCCACCCAGTCACCTTACCACCAAGCTATGCCCACTAATTAAGCCATGCCCACAGAACCGGTAGCGAAAATTTTTAGATTTCACCCCTGCCCTGCCCCCATCTATTCTCTGCCTCCCAAGTCCCAGCTGATTGGGAGGAAATGGGGATTTTGCAGTATCCTTCCCCTGCTATGCCCACCAAGCCATGCCACGCCCACCAAGCCATGCCACACCCACCAAGCCACACCCACAGAACCGGTGGTAAAAAAATTTGAAACCCACCACTGGACCTGTAGCATGCTTTCTAGGCCAGATCTGATGGCTAATTGAGGAGAGGAGGTCCCTCAGATAACCTGGTCCCATGTCATGAAAGGATTTTAAAAATTAAAACCTTGAATTAGACCCAGAAGCAGACTGCAACCAAAGCAGCTTGTGTCACAAAGATATGCATGTGCTGTTCTGCAAGCACACATACCTGCCTGTACCACTGCAGTCTGCACCAGTTGAAGCTTCCAGATACTTTCCATGGGCCGTCCCATTACAGTAGTCCAATCTGGGGGTGACTAGAGAATGAGTGACTGACGCTTGCTTATTTGAAAAATTGAAAGTGAATTATGCCAAATCTGTCAGTTGGCAAGATTTTTGGCACTCGCAAATTCATTTTATTTTCTGTTTGTTTACTCTAAACAGATTTGAAACTAAGAGCTGAAAAAAAAACACTCCACTCTGAACACATTAGATCTGTGATGTTGAACCTATGGCACGTGTGAATCACACAGTAATTAAGAGAATAGACTTCTTCCCCCATTGACTTTGCCTTTCGGAAGACAGCTGGGTTGCAAATGGTGACCATATCATTTTAGGATTCTGCAATTGTCACAAATGCATGTTGGTTGTTGACCACAAAGCTTGTGATCATGTGACCATGGGGATGTGACAGTTATAAATGTGAGGACTAGTTGTAAATCTCTTTTTTCAATGCTGCTGCAACTTTGGTTGTTAAACAAATGGCTGTGAGTTGAGAACTACTGTATGCAACGGCGTGCCAGGATTGTCTGTCAATAATAGTTTCTTTAAGTCCTTATTAAACTCATCTTGAATTATCAATGACAGCACAGTATTAATCCACGTTGTCTCTCTGCTGGTCCTTTTACAACTGTCTATGATGTTTCAACCATCACAATGTATACAGTCTTGCTTTCACAATATAAGTTCAAAATATCTAAGCTTTAATTCTTAGTGTTATTGTCTAGTTACTGTCTTACTGTCTAGTTTTATTGTACCTATTATTTACTCTTTTATTTACTGATGTGTCCTCAACAATTTTCTCTAGCAGGCTAACTCAAATGCATTGATGCATTTACTTTAGCTTGATTGTCCAGCTGATTGTACCATATGGAGTTCTTCCCCAGTTCAATCCTGAGCTACATATATTCTCTTCTATTGGGTTATGTCATATGTTACAGTGGAAGGATCATGGTGTAGGCTAATTTAATAAGATACCATTGAATTGGAAAGATGAACACACTTACATTGAAGCAGCATTAGTCGATTGATAAATTTTGATACTGAAAAAAGAATAGAAAAGAGTTGCAACCCTCTTTATGGACATGCAAATAATATTTTAATAGATTTGTTACTGTAAGGAGTATTTAATTGGATATATACAACACTCAACTACTCAATTGAACATGTCATTTATGAGATTGATGTTATCCTTGTTGATTCGGTTAATAGATATACAAGTTAAAATAGGTAATAGGCATATGGGTACAACCCCTTTGCAAGATTTAAACATTTTATTGTGATATATGATGGAAAAAGCAATTGTTTATTCAATTAAAATGTCATTTCTATTTCCACTTTAACGATAATCCCTGTTTTATAATCTTCATTTTTCTCATTTCCAATATATCTACATAGTTTGGGGTTTTCTTTTCTACATCTATTACATCTTTGACTTCTTTAAATCTTTAAATCTTCTTCAAGAAATATGTTGGCAGATATGGAATTATTGCAGTTGGTTTAGTTATAAGTTTCTCTCCCAATTTTTCAAAGTTCCTTTGAAATGTCATACATTTATTTGTCATTTTGCAAATTTCACTGTTCTTTTTCCTATCTAAAACTTTAGTCCTCCTTGATGTCCAATTTGTGTATTCACAAAATCTCAAATATATTTTCAACTTTCCACCAATAATTTCTTCCCTCATAAACTTAACAATTCATATTTCCATAAAATTGTTGCTTGGTTTTATTTATCATTTTTTCAAATCTCTTAGCCAAAGTCCTAAGATTACAAATTCATCTGATTCCTTAATCCATTTAAAATGTTCTTAGTTTAAATTCTTATTTAGCTTGTGGTCATTTATTTCATGTTTTTACACTGTTTAAATTGTAAATTATTTTTAATTTCTATTTTAGGATGATGTTTTACTTACCAGGTACATTTTTAGACGTTGTTTGGAAATAATAAATCAGAAGTGACTAGAAAGTGAGGTTAGATGAACTCAGTGCTGTTAATGGCTCCATTGTGGTTGAGAACTTGATGGCTTCTCTTGTCTCTTGTCTCTGACCTGTGGGAGAATTACTGTTTTGCAGTCTTCTCATAAGAAGCAGCTACCTGGAGTACAACTGGGTGATCTCTCATCTTATTGTCCAGAGAGTGTCTGTTGAACAAAGTTGCTGATGATTCATCAGTCATAGCCATGTCATTGTCTCTGCTAATTCAGAGACATCTAAATTGTTACTTTCCTTGCCCGGAAGACTGATTTTGGGGTCTCTGAGGTACAGTTTTCTATATAATTTTCCACCTATTCTTTGAATCTTCTTTCTTAATCAGATCTTTGCTTTCCAGGTCTTTTTTTTTTTTTTGATGATCATCTTTGTATAACATTTCCTTTGATTTCTATAATTTTTAAATAGATCTCTTATAATTCTGTTTTGATAGTTGCTCTCAATTTCTTTGCATTGTGTATTAAGATGTATCTGTTTCTTCTTTTCTGGAATTTGGAATGTATTTTGAATTTTTAAATTGCTTTTGCTTTTCATCTTTCCATGACTGTTGTTAACTTATAAACAAATTTGATGTTTTGATTTTGTAGTGTAGAATATTTTTAATTGCTTTATCTTTGATGATATTACATATTTGGTCCAGAGCTCTTCATGTGCTCTGTGTTGTGGTCCGCCAGCAGCCTGCAGAGCTGGCAGCGGAGTCAGACAGTGAGGAGGCTGGGGAGGAACATGGGCCAGTCCTTGAGTCTGGGGAAGGCCTGGACAAGGGCTCTGCATCAGAGGCAGAGATGGGGCCAGGGCCATCTGGGAGTGATGTGCAACTCCGGAACCCCAGAGTCGGACAGCAGAGAGGCAGAGGAACAGGAGGAGCCTGTTCCTAGTGCATGCATATGCAGAGCTGCCAGAAGGCAAGAGCAGCTAAAGCAAAAGACTCGGGAGTAAGGCCAGGAGATGATTGGCCCCGCCCATAAGGCTTAAAAGAGAAAGAAAGGCACTTGGGCTTTTTCCTTTTTCTTTTTGCAGGAAAGCAATATTGCTACCTCTGTTTCCAGTCATCTCTTGTTTGTTTCTGAACTTCGTGGGACTTTGCCAAGTAAGGCCTTTGGCAGGATGTCAAAGAAGATAAAGGTTGGTGATTATCCCAAAGGACTTCTTCCGAAGGACTTGTTTTGCAACTAATTGGGACTCAGCTGGGAATGAACATAATTCTCAGCTGTTACAATAAAATTGGTTTTTTGGGGACTAATTGTGTATTGTAATGACTCAGTAAGCCTAGGTCACAACACTATTTTAAATCTGATGTCAACCCTGAAGCGAACCTGGCTGAGGCCATCTTTATGGCTTTAGGGCTGCCACAAGATGGGAAGGGAAAAAATAGATAGCTGGCATTTTGTAGCCAAAACATAAAGTTTGGCTGTTGGAACCAAGGACGTCTCAACAGGTAGCTGGAAAGAGGAGGAGTAGACTAGTCAAGCGACCGGTTAGCACCTCTACTGGACAATGTGATGGATGACTTGGGGGAACTTTCATTTTTTTAATTAGGTGAAAACTGGAAACTTTCAGAGTTGGTATTCACTAGTTGTGCCAATATGATGTATCCAATAAATTGTTTTTTGAGAAATCTACCTGCCTCGGAGTTCTGCTTTCAATGGGTGCGTTACTTGGAACGCTGACATCTGGTTCATTACATTTTTTTCTTTTCTTGTTCTGCATTCTCATATGGAATATTGTTTTGATCATATATTGTTGGCTTTCATGGTCATCAAAAAAGACTCAGCAAGCAAAGATCTGATTAAGAAAGAAGATCCAAAGAATAGAATTATGTAGAAAAACTGTACCTCAGAGACCCAAATCAGATTTGCTTGCTTTCTTTAGTTTCAGTTGAAATTTTGCTTGATATCTATATTTGGGGTGTAGGTGGATCTTGTATTGACAAGTTGTCACAACTGGGCAAGTAATTGTTCAGTAACAGCTTCACTGCATCTGTGTATTGATGTTAGCACTCTTGTGTAAATAATTATACAGAACAGGATATAGAATACAGAATAACAGAGTTGGAAGGGATCTTGGAGGTCTTCTAATCCAAACCTGTCATATTCAGCTGAGCAGGAGACCCAATATCATTCTAGACAAATGGCTGTCCAATTTCTTTTTAAAAACTTGAAGTAATGAGGCTCCAACAACCTTTGGAGGTAAGCTGTTCTATTGATTAATTGTTCTGTCAGGAAATCTCTCCTTAATTCTAGGTTGGATCCATCCATTTCTTCTTGTCCTGTCCTCAGGGGCTTTGGAAAATAGGGGAACCTCTCTTCCCTGCGACACAGCCTCTCAAATATTGGGAGACTGCTATCATGTCACCCCTAGTTCTTCTGCTTGTTAGACTAGACATACCTAGTTAATTGTAAGGTTTAGCCTCCAGTAACCTAATCATTTTTGTTGCTTTTCTCTGCATTCTTTCTAGAGTATCAACACTTTTTTTTAATATTGTGGTGACCGGAACTTAATGCAGTATTCCAAATGTGGTCTTACCAGTGCAGTATAAAGGTTATACTAATACTTCATGTCATCTTTATACTATTCCTCTGTTGATGTAGCTTGGAGTGCATTGGCTTTTTTGGAGGCTGCATACTTTTTTTCTGGCTCATACTTAAGTGGTTTTTCACTATGACACCTAGATCTGTTGAGCCATTTGCCACCTATTTTATACCTGCACATTTGGTTTTTCTTGTCTATGTCTAAGATCTTGCTTTCCTAAAGATCATTCAGTTTCTTGAGTTCGTCTTCTAAATGTTGGCTATTCCCCCCAGTTTTAGCACTCTTGTGTAAATATGGCTTCTTAATTTCTTCTGTGATTTTCTTGTACACTGTAGAAGAGTTGGTGTGCCTTTGTTGTGATGTGACACATTCTAGTTTATTTCAGTTTTTGATTCCTAGCATCTCAATTTTCAAGTCTTGATGTTCTTGGTCTGACATCAAGTTTGTCTTGTTTTATGTTTCTGACACTACACATACCAGTGCCATATACATTTTACAGCATCAAACCTGTTTACTCTTCATAACCTCGGTGCTGCTTGTGCTGGCCCTCTGTTCTTTTTGAGTGACTCATTGAATAACTTCAAACCAGTGGCTTCATCTTCATCTGTCATGTAAACATTGTCCTAACTCTGAATATCCATTTGTTTTCTTAGCAAAATACTAGACTGGGTTTCCTTCACTTTTTTTAGTGGAGCATACTTAGCCTATTATGTATGCACATCCAACATGAGTAATCTTGTGGGAATGCTTATTCCCAACAAAGCTCACAGGGTGATTGGTATGTACATGTACAGTACAAACACCTTCAGCACCAGAAGGTGGTTCATGAAGAGGAACATGAAGGGGGACATAAAGGAGATTCATGAATATTTGACTAAGCCATCCTGAGCTATCCACTGAGCTTTATGAGATGTAATAAGAAAAGTATGCTTTTCCTTCTACTTCCTGGATGAAACACATTTTGTATTTCAATGGATTAGTGTCATTAAACCATGCCCTGGAACTACCCAGCATAATCTGTGACCACTTACACCACTAATATTCACTTTGAGCACCACATCCAGGCAGACAGCAAAATCAGAGTATTGAATGGCTAGTGGTTATAATTGGCTATATAGATTGCAAGTTTCAAAAGCCTGAACCCAAAGGCACAAAATATTTTCAAAGGGATGATCCCTAATTAAGCACCAACCAGGCTCTCAAACATTTGCAAGACTTCTGATGAATTGGGAGTGCCACTGCACTTGTGTATTGCAACTTAAATTCCTCAAACACTGTTGGACCACACTAATCATTTTACTGAAGCATTTGATTTCACTACTGCTGCAAAAACCCAGTTGCTTATGTACACACAGAGCTGGCAGTGTTTGAATGGGAAAACATTCAAAAGCACCACCAGGAGAGATTTTTGAAAAGCAACTGTTGTATATCTCACTGGATATAAAAGGCTTGAAGAGAGGCACACAATCCTGGAGTTGGCTGGAGGGTACTCTCTCTGTCTTTTTAACCTTGCCCTTATTTTATTCTTGTTTTTAATTATACTCTTGTTTTTAATTATACAGTATGCCTTTGATATATTTTATTGTGTGTATCTGTAAGCCACCCAGAGTCAGTTGGATAGTGAGCAGGGTGGTGTCTAAATATGATGAATAAACAATCAAACAATGTGATTCCTTAATTCACAGGGTACAAACCCATGCAGGGCACTGAAGCTGATATTTTACTTTTTCCACCTGCTGATCGAAAGCTAGGTTGTTAATTCTCCAGCATGTGGTGTACATTTTCTAGAAGAAAGTTCTTCTGGAACAGTGCACAGCAACCAGATATCAGATACATGCTAGTCCAACTGATTAAGCATGGGGTCACATTTGGTGGCAGTAAATCATAATAGAATTCCTGCTCCAGCATTGTTTCAATTTTATACCAGGATGAAAACCCTCATTTTCAAAGCCGCACATGCTTATGTGACTCCATAAATAGAAAATATCAGCACTGGGTTTGACGAATATTTCTCAGTCAGATGAATGTCAGGCTGAATACACCTGTGGAAATATTGCACAGTACTGGAAACCTGGCAGGTGATCCTGTTAGACCCAGATGATACGAAGCAAATAAAACATTAGGCAGTTGTTACAAAGTACAGGGGTGTGTGTGTGTGGCTGTCCATTATTACTTTAAAAAATATGTACAGTTACGAATTCCCTGAACTTTCTAAAAATCTAGTGCCATGCCACCTGTAATTTTGGAAAAAAAAACCCTCATAGTGAGGTATCCACCTAAGTACATGTTTTGTCACTGTCTTTTAGGATAAATATAGGTCAATCTTTTGGAGGATGGGCTCCATTCAGTTAGCAGTTAGGAGCAGGAAATAATATACAGGTGCAGCAAGCAGCATAGCCTTCATTTAGCCTTGGGTTTGTGTACACTTGACTAAAGTAGCTTTTTAAATTAATAGGCAACTTCAAAAACAAATAGTGTGAGGAAGTATTATGATCAAATCTTTGAATGTAAATGAATTATTCTGTATGTTGGAAATAAACCACATTCCATACTCGACAGATATATTAGCATTTGCAAAATTCCACAAAGAATGTACAATCTTTTGAGTTTGCCAGGATTCTTCATAAGGTAAAAGAGCAAATTTTACAGGAGGATCTCAAAAGCAAAGAATTTTCAGACCTACATTATTATAGTCCAGGGGTCAGCAACCTGCGGCTCTGGAGTCACATGTGGCTCTTTCACCCATCTGCTGTGGCTCCCTGTCACTCAAAATATGTATCACAACCGCCAATGTGCGACACCCGCCGGCACACAGTTTATTGAGCTTTTCAACCCCCAGTAGTCCAACCATAGATAAATCCAAGAAAAGAAAAGTTTCAGAAGAAAACAGTTTAATTCAACTACATATGCTAGTTTTATGGCCACTCAAGAAATATTCAGGCATGGGAAGGGTTTTGGGACTCCCAGTGTTTTCTTTTCTGTGGGAAATGGGTCCAAATGGATTTTTGAGTGTTTAAGGTTGCAGACCTCTGTTATAATCACAAGTGGATGTCATACTTTCACACCCCAAATTTGGGATAGAGAATCAATGGCTGTCTCACCTACCGGTAATTCTGATAACACAAAAGCTTGATACATTTAGATATGACCCTTTTCTTGGACAAATTTTAAAAAGCTCTTTGGCTTGGTATATTTGTCAAAATAAAATGAAATAAATTTCAATTTATATTGTAGATGGAATTCTTAAAATTCTTAAAATAGTTAATAAATGTCATTTTTTGCTGCCAAAATCTGAATCCTCTTCCCTTTTGCAGACCCACATCTGCTCATTATCTGAGGAGCTCAAGGAGGTGAAACAGAGGAGAAACATCTGGAGTGCTGCTAGAGGAAGACTCATTCTATGGGTTATCAATTTTTAAAGTATGTAACTTTAAAATAAATAAATGGAAGGAGACACGAGAGAAGACAACCTGGTTTCAGGTAACTTTCCATCTTAAGCCAAATGCTAGTGAAGCTTTCACTGCTTCATTTATGTGAAAATTCCCCTTTCAATGTTGATAAGCTCACAAAGTTGCAATGCTGATGTTAAATAGCCAGTTTGAATCTGTTTTTTCTTCTTCTTATGACCAGATTCATATGAGAAGCAGAATCACATCAGCTATTCAACACTTTATATCAAAGCAAGAATTTTGAAAGTGCTGTTGTATCCATACCCAACTATTTCATTAATGCATTTACTGAAATAAATGATATGTTTAGCCAGAAAACCAGTAAGGCTAAAAGTTTTTCTGTGACCCATAATGATGGGTCAGCATTTTGTTTAGCAAAAGAAGATCTGCTGAAACAAATCTGTTCCGGGAAATGCTAGCTATAATCCACATTGTAATCAAATGAATGAAGTCTTAGGTCTAATAAACCCATAGGAGTCTTCTGAGCTTGATATTTCATATTTATTGGGGAAGTAAGAAAACATCCATTTTTTAATAATGTGCATAAATTACAATCAATCTGACAAATATGTTTCCCTTTTACCAAACAGTGTATAATTAAGCAAGACTGGGATTCTTTGAACCTATGCTATCTTCTTGTGGTCCTAGGATCACGTTTAAGTTGCTGGGCTCCACACCATGTCTAAAGTCTAAAGACAAGTCAGATGAGGAGAATGGCACCAATTCCACCTCACTAGCCCCACTGGTAGATCCTGAAATGGTTACTAGCCCAGTATTAGACCTTCTGGACTAAGCTCTATGCTCCTACCTTGCTACAATAAGAGTAGAATTAGGTTCTAAATGTATGAGGAATATCTTTTAAGAAATTTCTATCTCTTATATTATGTAGGCTTCTTCAGCTACTGTGGCAAAATTTTAGGTTTGCTCCAAGAATCCAGCAGTCATACTGTATAAAAACTCAGTGATATTAAGAATGCAAAAAAAACCAGGGACACGAATCTGAATGTGACCCCATTAGTATTTTCATTGTTATACTCTAGCACTTTTGCATGACCCATAATGATGGTATCTTTTGACATTTTGTTTTGCAAAAGAAGATACTCACATATAACAGTAATCTTAGTTACCAGAGCATGGATTATACTAGCAAAACTGTATCTAAGCAAGTAGTTATAGCTGCTGCACCAGGGTAAGGTAGTAATAGGTGCTTTTAATGATAGTAGTGGAACCAGACCCTCTCCCAGTTACCAACTTAATATTTATTTATTTGAAGAAAGATATCAGATTCAACCAAAGCTCTTTAAATCAGAAGATCATAGAGAAATTTGTGATGTTCTTGGACAATGGAATTCTTGACCTCCAATTAATCTACTCTAATATATGCTGGTATTAAATCAGTATTCAATAATGCTGGCAACAAGTTCCTTCATTTCAGGGATGGGTTCTAAATTTTTTTACTACCGGTTCTGTGGGCGTGGCTTATTTTGTGGGCGTAGTTTGATGGTCATGTGATAATTCTTTAGGATTTAGCAGAGGTACTGGTCTACCAGGCTTTTAACTGTTTGCAGAGCTGTACCAGTCTAACCATTTGTTTTTGAAGGCACTGGTCTACTCATTTATTTTTGGAGGCACCGGTCTACTCATTTGTTTTTGGAGGCACCGGTCTACTCATTTGTTTTTGAAGGCACTGGTCTACCCATTTGTTTTTGGAGGCACCTGTCTACCCATTTGTTTTTGGAGGCACCAGTCTACTCATTTGTTTTTGGAGGCACCAGTCTACCACCACATTGCCTTTTAACACTGATCAGCTGTAAGGCGGCCCTTTGAAGCCCTGCGGCAAGAGTTTAAACAGTTTTTTTCCTTCTATCCGATCAGCTGGGACTCGGGAGGCAGCGAATAGATTGGGGGGGGCAAATAAAAGGTAAGAATTACCGGTTCAGTGATGTCATATTGTCACCGCTACCGGCTCGGCCAAACCGGGCCGAACCGGAAGGAACCCACCACTGCTTCATTTCCATATAACACTGATCAAAATATTATTATTAATAATTTCTGCCAAAGACAAAATATTGACTTTATACAGTTTAGCAAGATCTGACACATCTGCCTTAGTCTGAGTTCTAAACGGGAAACATTTATAGGCACCAATACAAAATCTGTTCATTTGGGAATGACAAGCAAGGTAAATTATGTAGGAGTACATGAAATCGCAAAAACAAAGAATGGGTTATGTTTTGTGTATGGAAATGATGGGAGGAAGAAGCTGAGTGAGAGAGAAAGAATAGTTACTGATAAAATCACTCTGAAAAGTAATTCTAGGAATCTTTTTACAGTGTAAAGAGTAAGTAAAGGTAAAGGTAAAGGTTCCCCTCGCACATATGTGCTAGTCGTTCCCAACTCTAGGGGGTGGTGCTCATCTCTATTTCAAAGCCAAAGAGCCAGCGCTGTCTGAAGACATCTCCGTGGTCATGTGGCCAGCATGACTAAATGCCAAAGGTGCACGGAACGCTGTTACTTTCCCACCAAAGGTAGTCCCTATTTTTCTACTTGCATTTTTTATGTGCTTTCAAACTGCTAGGTTGGCAGAAGATGGGACAAGTAATGGGAGCTCACCCCGTTACACAGCACTAGGGATTCAAACTGCTGAACTGCCAACCTTTTGATCGACAAGCTCAGTGTCTTAGCCACTGAGGCACCGCATCCAATAAAGAGTAAGTAAATGTAAGATAATGAGTATTCCCTTCCTTTCCAGGAAGAAAGCTTTCCCTGACATCCATACCGAATCAATTAAACTAGATTCACCAAGAAAGAATCCATGCTACACAGAAATTAAACCTCAGAACATCTTTGGGTCCTAAATCATCAGTACACTAAATTGTTTCTCTTAAGGGTAGGTTAGCCTTTGCTTTTTCTGGGGAAAAAGAATCATAAATATACACAGCACACCTATGAAATTTTCATACCCTATTTTTTCTGCATACCACTGTAAATCCATTTCATTTGTCTACCACTTTTTAAAAACAATTCATCCTGGAAGGAAAATCACAACAACATCATAGCAGCAGACAGGATCCATTTCCATTTTCTATCCTCTTCTAACTTTGAAGTTCAGAATAACATGCTGTGGCTAATTATATTTTGGATTGAATCAAGTTTAGTTTAAAGAATAACCTGCTCTGAAAAGCTACTGGAAAGTCTGTGTGTATATCTCTCTCTAAGTATAAAATCAGTTTATACATCTCTAATTAGTTTTGTGATCAGCTGTCTGCTAAAATACAAACACCCTAATTGAAGGGTGGTCATTAGCAATCTCACCAACATTTATACCTTTAAGGAGTGGAATATGGCTGGCAAAAGGCCTTTGTGTGGTCCGCTTATCCTTTATATTCTAATTTAATACAAACATTAAATTAGCTTTCCTGATTGCTGATCTCTCTCTGGCCTCTATTGCTTATTGCAGGGTACTTCACATGCCTCCAAGATAATAGACTTACAGATTTTGAACTTTATGAGGCTACCTTTGGATGGTATCACAGTTAAAAGGAAATGACTACTTTAAGAATGAAGGTCATAGCAAAGGACGGTGACCTAAAATTGCATCAGGGGTGGGTTCTACTTACCTTTACTACAGGTTCGCAACAGGATCACGCTCACTTGCTTCGCTTGCGTGCCTTGCTTCTGCACATGCGCAGAAGCTTCTGTGCATACGCAGATCGCTTCTAATGACGTCTGGGTCAGTGGGCGGAGCCTCCCGCCAGTTTTACTACTGGTTCAATAGAACCAGTTCGAACCGGGGGCAACCCACCACTGGATTGCATCACTTAAAAGATGGGAATGGGATCAAGGTAGCTGTCAGACTTCGATGCTATCTCAAAATAAATGAATTTCCAAACTGCCAATCTTTAAGGAAATCTTTTCTTTAATTGAGCACAGCAACCGGATTATGACTCGATGCAGACAAGACTGACCTTTTGCCCCCCAATCCCTCCCTTTCCGATCCCCAAATCTCTGCTTTTCATTGGCTATCTTCCAAGTCATTCTCCAGACTTCTTGTCTCGTCACTTCCCAGGAATGTCTCCCCCCTCCTCATTTCCACGACAACCCGGCTTCAAAGGGATTTAGCAGGCAAAAGTTCAGAGCTTATCTCTCTCCTCTCTATGCCAGCGCTGAGATGCTGACAGTAGCCTTATGGGGATATGGCAGAAAAGAGTGGGAAAAGGTGACAAGTTATCAGCCTTGAAGAGTATCCCTGCTGGAAAGTGATTCTCCAAGACAAATGTAATAGTATTGGAATTGATCTTAGAAGACTGGGCACAGAAATGCTGCCTAGGGAACTATAGAAAGCATAGTCTGGAATCAGATAATGGGCAGGAGCAGGAGCGGGTTTCAAAACCCGTTGCTACTGGTTCGCATGTGGGCACGTGCACGCTTGGGAGGGTGGGGCCTCCTGCTGCCGCCGCTACCGGTTTGCCTAATCCGGGGCAAATTGGTAGCAACCCACCACTGGGCAGGAGGCTCGGAAAAGACCCTCAGTGTTCTTAAAGGTAAAAGAGCTAGCAGAAGAATTCTTTCAGATTTACAAGATTCTGCTAATGTTGCTTTACCAGTAAAATAGAATTAGTTCATCTAGTGGTGTTTCCTGTATGGTCTACCTTGTAAGGTTTATTGCAAGGACTTTGGAGATCATAAACTTTAGCTAGTAATTCAGGGAAAACAATATTTTTTTAACTATAATAGAATGTGGGAATGCCAGGGGAAAGAGCCACAGCCAGGTCAGATAAGAGCTAGTTTAGCTCACAGAAGGAATGTGGATGTGGCAAATGTCTCAGACTTTCCTAATTTCTTGGGGTGGGGTGGGGAAATACTTTCAGACTTGAAAGATTCTGTTAATGTAGCCTTAATATGACATAGACCTAGTCCATCTGGGCATGCTTTTTGTCTGGACTACTTTATAAGACTGAAAGGAACCGAGTATGACAACCAGGTTTCTTTAAACAATGTTTTCAGCCACAGCAAACATTAAATGATATTTAATGAACAGGATCAATATTCTTAGTTGGGGGGAGAATATAGTAAACAGTTTAGAAATTAAGAATTAAGCATAAACATATATATTACCCCTTTCCCATCCCTCAGCAAACAAGCACCATGTACTACCAAAAAATATCAATTTGCTGTTTTAGAAGTTCAATTATGGGCCACTCTGTTTGATATAAATGGGTGTGATGCAGTGGTGGATTGCTCCTGGTTCTGTCCGGTTCTTTAGAACCGGTAGTAAAAGCCGTGAGAGGCTCCGCCCACCCACCTGGACATCATAATTGACGATCTGCGCATTACCTCTCATTGTCATAAAGCAATGAGCACCATCCCTTTTTCATTGGCTGAGTCTAATGGCACATCTAATCTAAAATATATAGATGTTACAGCTTTACATATATTTCTTTTAAAATCCTTATCTTCCTTCTAGGGCAAAACAGAGGTTGCTGTTACAGATATGATTCTAACAGGAGCTTTAAAATGACAGCCAGGGTAAGCTTTGCATCAGAATTCTACAGAGTTGGAATTTAATTTTTGTTTACCATGCGTAATGCTGAGAGAGAGCTTGGATGAAAATACCTGCTTAACAAAAAGAGTTTCTTCGCAGATTTGTTGTGCTGCACAAACGAATAAGCTCTTGGCAGGTGGTTGCTATGCACTTTTTCTGCTACCAATCGGATACTTTCTCCCAGAACTTCAAAGTTCTCCCTTACTGAGGACGAAGAACACAATAAAAGGAAAGACTTACCCTTGTGCTTTTTTCTATCCAGGTGTTTACAAAGCATTTATTATAGTTGTTACAAATTGCACTATGATCTTAAAGTGAAGCTAGGTAATAAATAAGGCTATTCACCTTATCCACCTTTCGTTATACAGTGACCATAAGGCTACAAATAAATGTATTAGTAGATAGGAAGGCTATTTGAAGAATGTTGTGAAAAAGGCCTCAGCAAAATACCAGAGCCCTGATTCTTTTGACACAGGGCATAAGTTTAAATCCAGTTAGGATAATATCAGAGAATACACACACACACACACACACACACACACACACACACACACACACACACACAGAGTGTCTGTCTGTCTGTCCATCATCTATCTAATCTATCTATCTATCTATCTATCTATCTATCTATCTATCTATCTATCTATCTATCTACAGGTAGTCCTCAACTTACAACAGTTCATTTAGCGACTGTTTGAAGTTACAACGGCACAGAAAAAAGTGATGTATAACCATTTTTCACCCTCACAATTGTTGCAGCATTGTCATGCTGAACAAAATTCAGATGCTTGGCAATTGACTCAAGTTTATGACAGTGTCAGGGTCCCAGGGTCATGGGATCACCTTTTGTGACCTTCTTACAAGCAAAGTCAATGGGGAAATCAGATTCACTTAACGACTGTGGTAAGAAAGATTATAAAATGGACAAAATTCATTTAACAACTGTCTCAGTAACAGAAATTTGGGGCTGAATTGTGGTCATAAGCCGAGGACTACTTGTAGAGTCAATAGAATGCAACACATCCTTTTGGCACCTTGTGACCAGCTTCTGAATTGCTGAAGCATCCCTGAAGTGGATGTTTTATCCAATGGGCGCTACCTCAGGCATCCCTATGAAGCCAGACAGAGGAAGAAACATAAATGTTTCAACAAGACCTTTGAAACAGTGGCAAAACCTGATGTTGACTTGAGAAATATACATCCCTTTTCTAGCAGATATTTGGTCAATATTATAGTCAACATTATGTGGAATATGTATTGATGCATAATAAATACAATTTATTTGTAAACGTTAGAATTTATCAGTGGCCAGATATAGAATTAAGTTTAAAGAAGGGTTATCTAGGATAAGAAAGTTGATTTGGAAAATGCTACCAAGTCTCTGTTCTTTGAATAAATTTTCAAATAGTGAAATACAAAAATCACAACAACATCAACAACAATGACCCTACATCAACAACAGAAAAAAGATGGTGATTATACAGTGAAAAACTAAAGCCTAGATATATCATAATAAAAATAAATACAATAAAAAAGGGAAAAAAAACCCCACAGAAAAGATCCATGTAGTTACCTATACATTAACTGTAAAGTTAATTCAGTTTTTAAGTTTATCATTAGACCCATACTAGAAGAGGAACAGTAGATTTCTTATTCTAATATTGTGTAATAATTATTTTAGTCAATCTCCCATGCCTAATAAAAGCAACCCACAATTTTTGTTATTTTGACAGATTTCCAAATACTGTGGTTATGGTTAACAAGAACATGTGTGTCTTTAATAAACAGCAGTTGGTCCAGAATGTTATTAACAGTCCTGTCAATGTCAGTTTCAAACATAGCTCTAATTGGACAAGACCACACCATATGGAGTAATGTTCCAATTCCTGAATTCATTTCCAAAGCAGGATGATTGGAACCAACTTTTATTCAACTTCTCTCTCTGAAACATCCAGTATACATAGAGCACATTGTTACTGTTATCCTGATTTAAGTTGTCAGGAAATGTATTTCATATTGCTTAATGTGATTACACACTCATTTATCTGGAGCTTCCAGAATTTAGAGTCTGCAGTGTATCTATCAAAACCAGTAGGGCTATGTGCATTTTGAAAATAGTTCATAAGAAATGCTGCAAATCTCTCACAAGCGCACACTTTTCTGCTTCTCATCAGCTTCTATACAAACCTGAGGGGAGTGGGAAGAGATGCCAATGACTTT